GAACATTGACCCAGGATGCTCTCCATAGTGAACATCTCCCCTCACTGCTGAAAACCACCCTGGGGCCAAACCCTGGTGATGAGCAGGACGTGCTGCTGCTCGCTGCGCTGCCAGGACCTGCCTGGGAGCAGGGGCTGACACACAGCTGATGCTACAGGCACACTGCTCTGCTCTTTGACCCCAGAGCTGTGGGGAGGCCCAGCTGGCAAAAAGGGATTATTTGGCAATACTAAAATAGATTATTAGTGCCTCAGCAAGTGAACACTGAGTGATGCACTCGATTACTTTAATAACAATAACGCTGTACCCCACAGAATGTATGCAATACTGCTACTATTACAAGTGGATAAATGGAATTATGAATAATGTTGGGCTTGTTGGGAAGGATCCAGTGCTGACTTGTTGCACAAGAACAGCCTGATGTTACTATAAATGGCTGTTATTGAGTTCGATGTCTTTTCTGGGAATATGCCTACCTGTACTTCTCAAAAATACATTACTTTGTGGCTAAAATTTACAAAGTCTCATACTGGAAAAAAATAAGGAACCTGAGGCAATAAATAGGTCAGGGTTCAAGCTCCAAACTACTGGGGTTTTCAGCAGTACATTCAGATGGGACAGCATGGCTGGCAGCAAAGAACATAAGCTCTTTAGAATATGCTTTATTTTCTGCTTGCAGCATGGTCTGTAGTCCTTAACTTACATATGGTGTAGAGTAATTCTTTGAAACTTTTTTAGTTCATTGGTTTTCCTTTCTTTTCCCCTTTGCTACAATTCTTTAAACCAAACCTTGTGTAATGCTCTCCAGTTCCTCACAAAATAAAGAAACACCCAAGTTCAATTTGAAAATTGAGAATTGCACTAGTTTAATGTGAATAGAAACATGGAGGCAAGATCTGTCTGAAAAAAACATTGTAATTATTAAATTCTATTTATTTTGGAGGAAATGACAGCTGCCTCTCTGCTTCCAGCTGGGAAGTTTCTGCGCTTCAGCCTTAGATGTTGGGAAGCACCCAGACAACTGCGTCATGTCAGGTGGGAATTTGTTCCTTGGGGACTGAGAGATCCATGGGTGATTTCAGATACCTCACTAGTACCTGGAAGATGTTTTACACTGCATGAGGGAGTCTGAAGTATTTCTGTTCAGTGGAAAACACTTCTTAATTGACCAAAAAAAAATATTCATGTTATGAAAATAACTGATAATGCAAGCATAAAAATAACCTAGGGCTTTTTAATCTGAGTGCCTAACTCCCCCCCTTCTGTGAGACAACAGGACCCATTACAGCAGCATTACTGAGGAGGTGTTCTAGGAAATGAGATTCCCACCTGCTTCAGGAGTGCTGCCCTGCCCCGTCAGCAGGCAGTCTGCATGGTCTGAGAACACGCAGAGAGCCAGTGAGGACACTGGAAAAGAAGGGCAGCCTGTTGACACCTAAACCATCATCTTGTCCTTTCATTTCACACCCCAGGGTGAGCTTGGGGCTCTGCAGTGGCACCCAGAGGTTCTGCTCTGAACGGTCTCTGCAGAAGGGAGAGAACAAGGGAGCGCTCTGAGCTTTGCTTCAAGCAGGGCAGGCTGGCTCAGTGCAAATCAGAGCAGAAAAATACATGTGTCATGCAACCTTCTAGAACAGAGAAGGGTCATGGGACAAAATACAAGCTAGGGAAAAATATTTTATGGACTAAATAAGATTTTTGCAGAACAGTGAACCAGTGCTAGAGAGAATTCCAAAGGAGGAACACACTGCTGAGAGTAAATGAGGTTCAACCTGTCTCCTGCTCGGAGGCATCAAAAGCCAAGACACTGACAGTGCAGAGGGTCTGCTTGAGACAAATATCACACAGAGGGTATCTAAGACACAAACATATGTCCAACCAGTAAATTACATGACAGCCTAATTCAACAACAAACAAGAATAGGTCACTTTAAGAGAATGATTAATACACGAGATTGCTGTGCATGCAGGCTTATCTGAGAGCAAACCTTGTATGTGGGTGTGAACTCTTGCTAAAGTCAGCTCCTATCTTTGCTGTACAACAGCTGCAGGAATAATTATAATAATTAATGGAGAGCAGTGATAAAGGTAACAATTGCCCACCTGTATATTGACAGACCATGATGCCTTTACTTCTTTTTTTCACACCTCCTGCCTTTTGCAGTGATTGCTGACTGCCATGAAGCCCTTTGCAGCCTCACACTGGGCTGTTTGCTCACAGCCAGACTGGTCAGGCTGTGAAGTGACAGAGCTTACAGAGTTTAAAATTCTAAATTGCATTTAGTCTCCAGTGGCTTGGGTTGCTATGGGCTACACTAGATCACAGAGGGTAACAGGATGAAAACATGAATATTCACTATATAAATAGAAGACCTCAAAATACAGGAATACAGAAGTGAGTGAACAATGTCTGTTAATAATTTCTTTGTTGGAAAGATTTTTTACAGGTTGCCTAACACAGCAGACCTGCCACATATAGCCTGTGGTTTCTTTTTGAACTGTGGCTTCCTTCCCAGGCTGCCCTGACCTTTGGCACATCTGAGCAGGACAGAGGAAGGGTTTGTGAGGGACGGGTGGGCTCTGGAGGGCCAGAGGGATGCCTGGCCCATCCTGCCACTGCCCTGGTCTCCAAGGACCCTGGACAGAAGGTGGGTGGGAGGCCCTGTGGACAGAGCAGCAGCAGATCTGGGTGCAGAGCAGGTGGGATAAGCCTCGTTTCTCTGGAAATTCATTGACTGCATCCCTGGCATGCTCCCCTGGGCACGGGCATACAGGGTGGTGAGCTGGCATGGCTCAGGAACATACACTAACGAATCAAAAGGAACTCAGAGTTGAAGAGGAGTTCAGAAAATGCTTTAGGGCTGCTGAACAGAGAGGAGATAACTGACAGGCCTGCAGATGCTGTCAGTGCTATAAAATCACAGAATGAAGGAATGGTTTGGGGAGGAGAAGCCCTTGAGCTCAGTCAAGGCTTTGTTCTAGATGGTTCTAAGGGGTGATCCTCCCTCTGCACCACAGCACGATGGTTACCCATGGCAGGAGGAAGGATACACTGCAGACCAAGAAGGTATTTGGTCTTAAATGACAGTATTGCACTGGGGAAGAACAACAGATTAGTTTTGAGTTCCCTAAGTATGCCTGCACAGAAGCTATTTTCAGATGTGGCTATAGGAGAGCTCAGAAGTGGCTCTCCAATCCTTCCCACATCCAAAGTTAACTAAAAGTCCTTAAGCTAATGTGCAATGAGACAGAGTCTGTCAAGACCCTGTGGAAACTCCTTTGCATATGTAGGAACATTAATTCACTGTGCTGCCTTAATACCATTCCATTTACAAATACAAATTCTATTTGTAACCATAAATCTCATAGAAGTATTATGCAAGCAAATATTCCTATCTATGAAAAACATGTATGATTAAAAATAGTAATGTATTTCTCTTAAAAAATACAATACTGAGCCTGTGGCCATGTAAGTGCCACAGGATGGGCAATAGGATGTCCTTGCCTCATGACACAGATAACAAGGAGGGATAGGTGAAAAAAGCATCCTAATGTAATGCCAGTTTGCTCTTTATATATACATGCCATCTTTCAGTACATTTTTTTTTTTTTTTAACATTTCTCACTGTTACTTTTATCTAGTTGTCAAGAAGGAAACAGAGTGAGTAGAACTAAAACACACAGAGGCTACTCCCACCTAATTTCTGATCTCTGCTCGAGAGGAGCATGACACTGAAAAGTTCTTACAGAGTGATCTGAAGAAGCTGAAAACTATTCATGGAACAATGTATTTTTGGCAAGCCTTGCTCTGGCTAAAAGCACTAACGGAGAAATGAAGTAGAAGAGCATGTATGGTATAAAAATTGTTATCACTTCCCCTCACCTTCATCTACCCTGACCAGATACATGGGATGTAGACACCCTGCTGGTCTACTGTTACCATAATCAATAAGGAGAATTTAGAGTGGTGGTAACTCTGTGCATACTTCCAGTGTCCCGGGGGATCAATACAAATCAGCATCGCAGCTGGCTGGTGAGAAGTAATGAGATTATGATCACAAAAGGCAAGCTTCCCAAATTTTTTCCTAGTGTATGACAAAATATCATACTTCTCTATCTGTTCATGAAGCATAAAATAGTATTTAAACATATTATATCTATTAATAAAAAAAGTATATAAAAAGCATAGTTTTATCTGCCTTTTTTCTACTATTTTTTGAGTATTATTTTCTTTGTGAATGGAGTATTTCTTTCCCTTGAAAGCAACTGAGATTTGACTTCCTCACTCTTGGAAAGTGTGTAAATGCACTTGTAAAATGTAATTGTATAAAATGGCACCAAATCTTCCACAGATTTCTCCTGAATAGGACTGCCATTTGCAAAAAGCTTGGTTTTGCATGATAACAATACTTGTCCATTCATGGCTAAAACACCTCAGGGATACTGCTGACTAAAATCATGCATGTGTATTAAGCCAGCCAACTTATTCTATCAGTCTTAAGCATTTATGTGATGTTTACTGAAACGGAAAAAGCAGAATCTAAGTTCCTGCCCTCTTTCCTGATACCCCTCTTGGATTTCCCTGAGTGATGGCAGTAGGCTCCACACCCCCAGCTGACTGCACTCCTGCTGACTGCTTGCAGTCATCAAACAGCTTGAGCCAAAGACTGTCTTTATGGTTGCAATAATGTCATTTAACAGGTGGTCTGGGCCCAGTGCTTAAAAGTCCTTCCACATCTCTGAGCACACAATCCTGCTGGGTCTGTTTTAAGAGCAGCTATAAAAGACAGCATCAGCGGAGCCCGAATGATGAGCTACGGAGCACTACTGGCATGTGGTTTATTAGTGATGGAGGGGATGTGGGGAGAATAAACAACCATGAAAGGAAGAGAGATCATTATAATTTCTGCAATAAATATGGGAACGTTCACATTCTACCAACATTGCAAGCAACAATTATGTTGTAGCTAGTTAAATAAATGGATTATATATGATTCTTACCTGGGAGGAAATGAGATGTCCAGTTCATACAATCTGTCTTTAAAGACTGACAGCTCTCTGTCAAATTCTAAAAGCTATAAAAGATAGAAATAAATGCATTCACTTTTTAATGTGGAACTTCAGCAATTTAAAGACACTACATTAAATAAAAGGAAAGAGACTATGATCACACAGAGCTTGAGGTACAGCCTTCATAGAATTCTTTTTATAATACAGTGCAAACCCATCTGGACTATTTTGGTACATGAACAGTGCTTTGAGAAAAGTGTTGAAAACATTCATTGTCCTCAGTGAAAGTCGTAACACTGGCTCTTCACAGCACTGACCTGTAAGTGCACTTATACCACAAGAAAGCTACATTTCTTGAAACTTCATTATCAATCTTTTCAGAGATAAACCAGACTAACATTAAGAAAGAACAGCAAACTGATATGCTAACCAGCCCACGAGAATGTCACTGAAATGCATCACATTACTCTGCATTGTCTTTAGTGCAGATAAGCAGGTACAACAATCACAAGGATGGGCACATCACTCTTCCCAAGCACAGCCTGGAGTTCCTGGACATCTATTGTGGATGGTGCAAGGCAGACAGCAGGCACAGGGATATGTGCCAGCAGGTAAAGGGTGTTCCCAGGCAGGAGCAGAAAACACCAGAAGCAGGTCTTTAACAGAGATGTTCATAAGTCTAGATTTAATGTATAAATACTGGTCCCAGTCACATTTGTTTTCCCCTGGACCTTTACAGTGAGAATATCCACAGTCTTTGTTCATAAACACAAACCCACTCACAACAACTGAATCATATTTGTCCCATTAAACCCGTAACTGTTCTGATGGACACAAATGGTCTTGCTCCAGAATGCTGCTGGGGTGCAGCCCTGTGTCCCAGGGAGCTGCAAGGTAAAGACAAAAGCTCATCACCCCCATGGAGCTGGCCCTGGCTCTGTCCAGCATCCCGGCACTGTCCCGCACCAGGGCGGTGTTTGCCCACTGTCCATTAATCATGTCCCATCTCACAGCTGTGCTGATACCATTGTATGAATGGCAGAGGTTCCCAAAGAAATTAGATCGTGTCCCCCTTTCCTCTCTGTCACCTCATAAATCATTCCTGAAATGTGCAATTAGCAGCTACTTGTACACATTAATTATCTGTGTGAAAAGCAGCTACCTGAACCACCTGCACTGCTGATTAGCTCCCTCTCCACGGCTCACCCAGCTCTCCCCAGCCTCTCCTGCCATGCTGCCATATGTAGGGACCTTCACATGGAGATGCCAGGTGATGGGCAGCTTTCCCTGCTTTAGCTCATTCCACACCAAATTCTGTGACAGTATGCTGGAAAAGGTTCTGCGATACCAATAACTGTGAAAATCTGTGCTTGTTTTATGAACTGATTCAAAGCCTGAGAATTCAGTGTTTGGATAAGTAGTTTGAAATATCTGTGTAGAAATTTACAGTATGTATCTAATAATATACTCAATCCTAAAAGTGTTGGGCTGGTCCAGCAGTCACTGGTCTAACTGAAGCGATCTCAACATACTTTAATAAATGGATATTTCCATCACCATGAATGCTTCCAGACTGTGATTCTGTATTTCAGAAAGCAGAACAGATTGGTAGCCACAATACATACACACTGGCAATGAAAACAAATGTTACCATCCCTTTCCTGCTCCAAATGCCTCCACCTTAAAGGTATCAACCACCCTAAGTGAATCTGGGATAGGAAAACAAGCTGCCATCCCCAGTTAAAGCTATTAATCGAAATGTACGTCTATACATGTTTCCTACTGTTCCAAGTAAACAGCTCAGCCTAGGGAAGGGGAGGCTGAGAAAGGCTGTTTCTGAAGTGTTAAACTGAGAGGACTGAATGAAAGAACAATGCTCCACAGAACACAATGGTATAAATTACTCATGGGCATCCCAGGGGTTGGCAAAGTTCAATAGACGCATTGTCCTCTCACACCAATTCACATTTTCAAAATTTTATACATTCAAATTGTTCTTGCTATAATGATATTTGCAAACTCAGTGAGGGTTGGGGTTTAGAGGACTAAGCATTTGGAGGTGCATTATTATCCACAGAAGTTTCTGCTGTGTTTGTTTGCTGCAGTTGTGTAGGCAGTGTCTGTGCTATGCAGATGAGCTGCTGACACTGGTGACAGATAACAGAAACAAGGCAGCATTGTGTACTGTGCTCTCAGTTTCCCGAGTTTCCTCAGGTAAAGGGACAGCTTCAACCTGAATCCAAAGCCCAACTAGGTGCCTACAAGGATTTAGAAATGCTCATGGTGGAGAATTCATCCTGCCATGTAAAACGGCCGAATATTTTTATTGGATTATTTGCAAAAGCTTTTAATTCCTGTTAGTTAGTAAATAATTATTTTACGAATTATTTTTTCCTAGTTATTGAGTGTGTTACAGTACCCGTAACCTTCTGTCCAAAGACATCCACTAGGTGTGCACAGACACCTGCTCGCTCTTGGGAGGGCAAGGACAGGTTATCTGTGTGCCCAGGGCTGAGCAGTGGGAACCCCCCAGAACCTCTCTGGCTTTACCCAGCAGCACTGCAGGCAGAGAGGAACAGAAGAGATGATGAAAGCCTGAACTGTGCATTTTGGGAAAATTGCAGCTATTCTTTTCAGTAGCAGAGCATGTTTTAACTATTATTTTTTGGTGTGAAAAGCACCTGTATTATCATTTAAGCCTGTACTTTCAAAATGCAAGATTTTTGATGCAAATGCAAGGTGTTCACCAGGTCTTGTTACAAACAACTACAAATGTCATTTGCCATGAAAGCAACTAGTAAGAGAAGGCACAGGGCCTGACACGGGCATCAGTCAATTTTATCTACTTAAGACAGGTACGTGGGTGCCTGGAGCAACTCAGCATGACAGAAAATGAATGAAAATTAACAAAATGATACTTGAGCAGTCAGAACTTCACAGGGTAATGTCTTTACTTTTAAAGCATCTAACATGGTCTTTAAAATACCCCACCTACAGCACACTCCTTTCATGGCAATTTCACCACAAACTGCTCACTCATTTCCATACTGTACACCAATCAGCACCATGAATAATGTCATTGCTGAACAGGAAACATGAGTATGTCTGTCACTCTAAATGCCTTAAGAATTATAAAAAAGCTCAAACGCTAAAAATCAATATATTGTTCTATTTAATTTACTCATAATAAGATCATCCTTAAGAACCAAACCTTTAAGGTGTTACATGACACGCTGTGGTAATTTGAGCAATTACACAGAGATTTTGAAATGCTGTGACTGGCAGATCATTCCAGAATTATGTCATAGGCAGTTTTCAGAAGACTGTTTTTCTTCTCCAAACTGGGTTTCACCAATGTATTTATACCTAAATAAGAGTGAAGATGATGCAGGGTCTATGTTTTATCTGATCCAACACCATGTTGATGATATTACATCAAGATGTTTGCTCTACAACGTCCAGTGACCAGCCCAACACCTGAATGAAAATCCATCCATCCGTCCGTCCATCCATCATCCATCCATCCATCCATCCATCCATCCATCCATCCATCCATCATCCATCCATCATCCATCCATCCATCCATTGTATCAATAGTTAGCTACTACCTGTGAACCACTGTGACCCCACACTGCAGGGAATGCAACCAGGCAGTATGTGCAGGAATGACTGCATTTGCAGTGAAGGGTATTTCCTATTTAATTAGAGGAGAATTAAAAGCATTCAGAACTGATGGCTGTGTCAGCTGCAGTGCCCATCACCTCCAAAGGGAATTATCAGAACTGCTGGTTTTCTAGGGTGCTGTGTATCCTGTAAAAACTGCTGAAGGGAGTCTCAGTTTTTGCTCCCTTTCTCTTGGCAGCACTGCAACGTACATTTATGTGCCAGGGTGGAGGAGAAAGCAATGTACAAAATTCCAGATTTCTACATTATGCAGCTTGACAGTAATCAAAGGGTTTTAAGAGTTTAGGCAGTTGCAGAAACCAAGGTTCTGCTTGCTTCAATTTAAAGCAATGAGGCACTGGTACAAGGTCAGCATCTCTTGGGTACACTGCAATGGGCCACCTTGGCTAAAATCATACACGTATGAACCCCTTCAAACAGGGCAACTTAATTCAGTCACTGGAGTAGAACAACGGCAATTACTCATCAAGACCTACAGACCAAAGTCAGAGCACTGGTACATCAGGAGGTGATATTAGCAGCATTTATCAAATCCATCTGCAGGGCCCACAAGAGAATTCACAGCTGTGAAAGGGAAATGAAGTTTCAGACCAAAAAGAGGAGATGAGCATAAAGAAGTGACCTCAGAGAATTAAAACATGTGGACCCTAGTCACCATAACCTCCTTTGTCAGTCTTGTGGAGAACACTTTCTTTTCAAGATACTTTGGAAAGACAGTAATTTTATCTGTCTTTCCAGTCACAGCAGATTACTTAGAAACTGATTCAGCAGTCTACTGACTTCAGGAAAAGGCCAGTGGAAATGCTGATCCTTCCCACTTATCCATGAAAATGGTGTACACAACTCTACCTGATTTTAAACCTACCTCTTTCTCTAACAAAAAATATGTAAAATGATCTCTTACTATATACTTTGAATCTTAATCTTCTTTCTTTCATTACCAGTGTTTAACATCACATTTCACAGAAAAAAAACCCCAAATCATTGAATATAAATGTACCACTTATGCTGTATTTGTATAATATTGTACTTCTGCACATATATCCTATATATCCTGAATGGCTGTGCTGTCAAATCACGAACACCCACATAAATGTGGATCTATGGCACACAGAAGAGCAATGGCACCAAAGACATTGTTCTCAGCATTAGGGGGGAGAGGCACAGCAATGCACAGCTAGCAGCACTGAGGGCTGACCCCACTGCTATGTATAAGCTGTTTTTTTTACATTATTACAAATTACAGTCAAACATGCTGCTAACAGTTTCAAGGGCTCAGCCTCTCCTCTGTTCTGCAACATGCAGCAGAGAATCCAGATCTTATCCTGTGAGACTTTTGTTACTTGAAAAAAACATCAGAAATCAAAACCTGTTGTACTTA